TTATTATATATATATATATATATATATATATATATATATATATGTACACACATATATATATATATACACTATAAAGACAGAAAGGAAAAATAAATACAAAAAGCGGAGAAGAAGAAAAAACGAAAAAAAAAAACCTCGATCGATAATATTCATATATACGTGATGAAAGAGAACGGCAAAGAACGAAAAAAAAATGTAAAACAAAAGAAAAAAAAAAAAAACAACAAGCGCCGACAATTTGACAAATCGACGAAGTGCGAGAGCGACAGAGGATCGACGAACCGATGTCACTCCCCCCCGCTACTTTTACTGTCAGAGGAACTTGTATACCAGTACATTCATTCCGTTTAGTTTCTAGCTTTAGCTTTTTTTTCTTTTTTTTTTTTTTTTTTTCCTTTTCCTTTTTTCCATTCTCTCGCTCGCCTCTCGATCGCACACGGTTGTCCACGCACTCCCACGCGCGCACATGTACAACACACGCACACGACACGCATACACCCGTAACCTATTTTTTTCTACGCACTCGCGTATTTCTTCCTCCCCCTTCTATTCTTCTTCCCTCACACTTTTCTTTCTTCCCACAGATAACTATCTATACATAGATAATAATTAATATCTATCTAACCAGATAGTCACGCAATTCTCGTCGGAACGAAAGAACGCGATTGATACAACGATTAACTAAATACACGAATTTCTCTCCCTCATAGTTTCTTTCTTTCTCTCACCTGAAATGGCTGGAAAGATTCGGGTGGAGACGGCGGTTGTGGTGATGGTGGTGGTGGCGGTGGTGGTGGTGGTGGTGGTGGTGGTGGTGATGCTCGACCTTTCGCCCACGTCCATGTCCTCCTCCTCGTCCTCTTCGTGGATCGCGTCGCTGCTCGGGCTACGACTGATCGGGGAGTCGCCGCTGCTGTTCGAGTGCGAGTGCGGCCTGTGCATGCCCGTCGACATGGACAGATCCTCGGGCTCCGTTTGCTCCGGCAGATCGATGGGGATACCGGACAGGTTCAACGGCATGGGCATGGAGGCGTTGACGATTTGAGGGCTTGGCAACTGGCGATGCGCCGATCTCGCCTCCCTCGCCTTTCTGCCGATCAACGAGGAGGAGGAGGAGGTGGTGGTGGTCGTGGTCGTCGTCTCGGGCTCCTCTATCTCGACGTCTATATCGATGTCGATATCCTCGTCCAGGTCGTCGCTGGCCAACGAAGGAGACGTGACCTGCGATCTCGACATTTGCAACGGGTTCAACCCTTGGGTCCCGCACTTGTGATGCATCAGGTGATGCCTCCGTCTGAATCTCATCTGGCAATGCTCGCACTCGAACGGTTTCTCGCCCTTGTGGATTAGCAGATGGGCCTTCAGCTGATTCGAATCGCTGAATTTCGCGGCGCAAAGCTCGCACGCGTACGGCCGTTCACCGGTATGGACGCGCAAATGGCGGCGCAGGTTTGCAACCTGGACGAACTGCCGGTCGCAATGGCTGCAGTGATACGGCTTCTCGCCCGTGTGCAGCCGCATGTGGGTCTTGAGGTGGTGGTCCCGCGTGAATCTGTAATATTAATGAAGAAAGGCTTGGTTTCCTTTCGTAGGCGGGTAGAGAAATTTCAGAGTGATAATCGGATAATCGATTAACAAATGTGAAAAATCAAATTTTAGAGGTAAGTATTGTGTATTGTTTGTTTGTTTTTTTTTTTTGCATGAAATGGATAAGATAGATAAGTGAGAAAAGAGTTGCATATTTAAAGAGTTCAAGCTTTGATCGATGGAGTAAATATATCGATATTTCAAGGCCACTAGACTTTTACGTTTCAAATGGAAATATCGTGCTCACGATTTGCATCTTCGATTCTACATTGAATAAAGAACGGTAACGTGAATACGGAGCGATTACGAATACAGTGACTTTGAAAAACTTCTTTAAACTGTCCCGTTTCGTCAAATCACACGGAGAGGCCAACTAATCTACGAGCTTAATGTTGCGTCTCATTCTCTATCTACACATATAAACACATAAAAAACAATTAATTGATTAAAATAGTTATACAATCGTGTATAGAAATATCCAACGATCGTCACTGCCTCATCTCTACTTCTCTTACTTCTTTATTTAGATGACACGATCGATTATTAATTTTCGAGCAAATGTGAAAGCAGGAGCGGCGACAGAATCTCCACGATTATATAAAATAATCATCGAATTTTCGTGCTCACCTTTTGTGACACTCCGGGCACTCGAAAGGTTTCTCCCCCGTGTGCGTGCGCTCGTGGTTTTGCAACACGTGTTTGTAACCGAACGATCTGGAGCACACTCCACAGGTGAACACCTTGTCCCTTCCGTCTTTGCCCACCTCGGGGCTGACCGAGATGGGCGGACTGAGCGGCGCCGTACCCTCCAACGGTGCCTGCACCACCTCCATCTTCGACGATTTCTGCGCCTTCTTCTTCGCCGTTTGCCCCTTCCTCGAGATTCTGTCGCCGCTGCTGCTCACCACGTTGTTGTTATTGTTGTTGTTGTTGTTGTTGTTGGCGGTGGTGACCGCGGTGTTGTTGCCGCGCCTGGACGTGGATTTGGAGCTCAACGCGGGCGACACGGGGCCGGGTGAGTGGTGGAGAGGCGAAGGGGGCGAGGAAGCGGTCGGCGGTGCCCAACCACCGAACAACGTCTGGTGCTGCCTGTAGAGAGACGGGCTCGCCGCAAGGGTTGCGTGCAACGACACGGGGATACCAGCGGCCATCAAGGCCGCCGTTCTGCTCGCCGCGAGCAACTGCTGAGGGGTGAGCATGGACAAGCCTGCCGTCGTTCCTCCCATTCCGGGGAACATCACTTGTGACGTGTTGTTGTTCAACGGCGGTGAGAGTGGTTGCTTGTCGGATTCTTGTTTCATGTCGAGATGCTGGCCGCTTATGAGTCCTGGGGGAGAGAAGGAAATGAAAGGTATGATAAAATGTAGTTTCATAGTTTCATTTCATCTCGTTCGGTGTTTGTCGAGAGGAATTGTGAACGAATGCGTGTTTTGCGAGATAAGTTTATTAGTCCTTGTATCAAAGTCTACATCGATACTGTTGATCGAAAAGATTTGTCTTTTCATTAAATCATTTAGAGAGAATTTGTTTTTTCAAAAATTTATCCATTTATTAAAATTAAAAATTAAAAATGTATAAAAATTTCGTTTTTGATATGAAGGTAGAAAAAAATATATAATTTTGACAGTTGGTATATTTTATCAGTAACTGTGAAAAAATAAAAAAATTCCGATACAATAATTTTTTTCCACGCATATCCATGTAACGCATAAGGAAAATAAATTAGAACGATATCATCGTTGAATATCTTTTTACTTGCTAACGACAGGAAAAAAATCAGATTCGAAAGATACAGATTTCCGGAAATCGTCCGAACGGTTTGACGAATACCGTACCGTTTCACAACAAATCGCATCGCGAGGTACGTCGTTGGATACGATAGTAGACGCGTGTACCACAATGCGCAAAAAGAACGAACGTTTCGTACGTGTACGGAATCGTACGACGATCTTTTTCTCCTTCCTACGTTACGTATCTTCCCTCTCGCTTGTTCCGCCATTCGGCGATGTTCTCCTCCTTGTTCCTCCCTCTCAGCCCTCCCACACACGTTGCTCACACGTGAGCGAGAAGCTCGGTCCTCCTCCATTCACTCACACTATCGTACGGTACGGTTCATTCATAAGCCTCGACTTCCCACCCACGTCATCGCGATGTACCCGCCTCTCTTCGACTTGAGGCCAACGACTTTGTGAAAGTGCAAGCTATGCCAGTGCATTCTGCAAATGTCTCCACGTGGTTTTTTCCGGAAAATGAAATTTTGTACGATGATATCCCCGATACGTTGCTGATTCAAGATTTCGATCGTTTTTTTGGAGGGGGAATTTTGATTAGAAATTGGTGAAAATATATAATATTGGAATTTTATTGGTTATTGATTTTTTTGGAGATCGATTGAAAAGCGAAATGAATTTTTGATATCTTTTCACAGAACAGAAAATAACGTTGTTGTTAAAGTTAAAATTTTCTTCTAGTTTTACGGAGTGATTTTAGCAAAATGTTACGAAGGATAATTTTAACATTCTCGAAAAAGAGCAACCCTCGTATTAGGGTTACACCTTCCGATGATTGCTTATCCGCGTGATCGGCGAGGCTCGACGGGGTAATTGAATTAATAAGAGGCTTGGTTGCGAAATTAACGGACGTAAGAAAATTACGACAACGACGAAATATAATTCGATGGTACATTTACATTCGAGAGGGAATTTCCTTTCCTTGGAAACGTTCTTTGCTACGTACTTGTTCGGAGAAAGAAAGTATAAATCGAATTCGAGATAATTGTAATTATTCGAGACTTTTAACGGGCCACTTGCAATCTACATGCGAGATGAGACGAAGGTTTAATTTAAGAAAACAATGAATCAACCGACCATGCTTCGCCGCCACTTGCTAATTAATGGGCCGTTTAGAAGAGGGACCCGTAATGAGACCCGTTGAATCAATAAGGGCGCGTAAGATCTATTCTCTTTCTTCTCTACCCTAAAACTCCCTTAACGTGGCCTAAGATTCTTACAGCCTACAATCGCCGTTTCCCGGCAACACGACCAGCAGAGTACCGCCCCCGCTCGCATCCCTACCCTAATTGGTCGCAACCCCAATATTCCGTTCCGAATCCCTTTCCCTTAGGTCTGAATAAAAATTTCTTCTTACTCGGCTTTTCTTTTTTTACCGTTATATGCGGAACGATGAATTTCCATGATTTATGGAAAATGCGTGGATTTTGTCAATTTTTCATACGTACAATTAATTTTATATTAAAACGCTATTTCATTTTCATTTACTGATCATCTATGATATTTATATTAGAAAAGAAAGATTTCGATACATCTGAATATCATATTTTCGTATATATTTATATTAAATATAATTTATAATATTATTTTCCGAATGTTTTCTACATTAATACTTTTAATAAATAATTTATTAAATAGCCAGAACTTTGAGAGATTGTACAACTTATGTTATATGTTACAAAATATTGCACAAGTATTGCAGCATATTTTCAAGTAAATATATATTTAACAATAGATATAAAATATAAAATATATTATATATAATATATTATATATTATATATAAGATATAAAATATATGATGGTTTGCAATTTGTATAGTAACTGTGATAAAATCACTTTGACCGTAAAATATATCTAGTTCTTAAAAAATCCCTAAAAAATTAGATCGTGTCTTTTTTCACAATATTTTTTTAAAAGACGTACACGTGTAAATTTTAACACAATTTATTGAAAAAAACGCCTTTAAATTTTAACTATCCATTAAACTTACATACAATTCGTTATTTGTTAATCGTTCGCGATTCCGTTCTTTAATTTGACCGCGTTTATTAAATGTGCAACTGAATATGCGCGCGCGCGCCTCGAATAAATATACCGTTGCACTTTGTTTATAACCTAGAAAACGCGTTCACAGAGACGATCGACGTCAGTGGCCGCACACTTCACGCTTTCGAGCATTTTCGTTGCAATTACGCGGGAGCGTGGCTATTTTCGGACGACGGTTGCAATCGCGAAATACGTCGAGTCTCATTTTCTCGAACTCGGCTCTCCTCTCCTTCCCGTCGAGTAATTTCGCGTCTTCCTGGATTATCGATGTTTACAATGTGTCACAACACGAGCATGTCCCCGCGAGCGCTTTTAGACTTTGGCGTTGAGCCAGTGTCGTTAACATGTCCTCTAAACTCGAAAACCTTAAATGTTCTTCTTTCCGACTGTCTGCCTTGTGGATTGTGATAAATAACGATTAGGCCACTGAATGTCGAATAAAATACGAAGAAAGATGGTATCTTTGTCGTATATCGTGACAAACGAGAAACTACGAATCTTTTTTGTTTTTCGATCGGATGTGACGCGTGTTTCGCGATGAATTTCATCGAAATACTTATGAAACGTTTAAATCGATTATCGATTCACGCGAAAGACGAAATGCTGATGCGTGGCGATTGCGATATTTTTTTCGATAAAATTGTTGATCCAACATTCGCGTGTACGAAGTTTCGCGATGTGAGAGTGGGTGGATATACAAGTGACGGCCGTAACGTACCTGCGTTAATTTGCGCCTCTTGAAGATAAGACAGTGCCATTGTACGACGTGTTTTCACCATAAGAACACATAACACAACACATAAGAAAGATCGCTTTTGACGCTGCTCTGATGATTCAAGTTCTTTTTTTATTCCAAATACGGATGATGAGAAACCACTGGAAAATTATCGAATTCTCTTCGTAATAAACTGCGACGATATTTTTCTTGACGATTCTGTTTCGACGTTTGTAGTGAAACTGGCGCGTGTCCCATGGAACCAAGCAGGTGAAGAAAAATGAACAAAAAAAAAAAAAAAAGAAAGGGAAAAACGAACAAAAGGATAAACAAGGTACGTAAAAACGTGTTACTATTCTACTATAAACAACAAATGTCGCCGTTCGACCACGAAGAACGACGACAACCAACGATGTTACTCTGGGCTGACCTAACCCAATACTAACTGACAATCGAGTCGCGCTCACTGTAGTCAAACATCCCCCACTTCGACCCTGGTCTCCCCACTAGGTACTCCGTATCCCCACTCTCGTCAGCCTTCTCTACCCTCTCGAATCGCAACCCTAGATGCGCGAGTCGCAGAAACGTACCTCGTTTGGGGGATAAAGCGAGCCGAAGCGTGCATTAGACGAAGACAGATATAGTGGAAGACGTTAAGGGTAAGAGAGAAGATACGTACTTAGAGAATACGATGAGATGATGAACGAGGACAGAGAAAGGGATCGGGAGAGAGTAAACGAGAAACAATGACAGACAGGATGAACCTGCGACCGTGATCTTTAAGAGTGGGGGGCGTTTACGAGTATAGGGAACTTGTATACTTCTCTGTTGTGTTACGATGGACAAGGACGGCTATAGAAGGCGGGTAATCGGTGAAACCTGTGAGAGAAAAGATAGGGAGTGGACGAGACGTGACGGAGAGGGAGAAAGCGAGCTTGACAATGTTCTGCAACTATAAACCAAACCAGTGTGTTGTCGCTCACCCTTTCAAATCGCAAGAAATAAAAACGGTTAAAAAAAATCAAGAGAGATGTAAAAAAGAGATTGTTACAAAAAGCGTGATAGTTATTCTCTTAAACACGTTCCAATTTTTCCGTTTAACTTGACGTGGAAAGAGCTGTGAAATGATTTGTTCGTGAAAAATAAAAAAATGTCGTCGAAAAAATTTTTTTGTATCAATCCTTTAATATTCACAATGATAACTCTATATAAAGAATAACAAAAAAAAAAAATTCTTTTTATTAATGCGAAAAATACGATTGTTAATTAGTATCTATATTCAATGTGCAATATTTTATTAAATTATACATGAAGTTTACAATATGCAAAACGCAATCGAATATTATGATTCGATATTAATATAATATTAAATACGGTTTTAATAATGTCTTGTTTTACACGAGTAGTTAGAAAATTAATTATTAAAATATTAAAACATTTGAAATTATTATTGTTTTCGTAACGATATACGTATATAGATAATACATAAATAGGTATATAAGATATAGAATACGTGGATAAGTATATGTACAATGGGATGAATATAAAATAATAGTTGGCCAAATATTTAGTATCCAAATAATGCCAAATACATTATAGATATTTACTCTTTGCGTTTGTAACAAATGAATATCGTATCAGTATCTAATAATGATTATTAGAAAACATGACCTTGAACGTTAAAAGCTTAAAAACGTTTCTCACGTACGATATAATGGCTTTTTATTTACTCTTGGTACATACTGATTCGCAAATCTCGCTTCGTTTCCGTTTCTACGTCGTTCGTAAGAATTTCGTAGGACTTTTAACACTCTTAATAATTCACCTGCGGTCGATAAGGATCGTGTCGCGAAAACGTTCTACGACTTATTACGTCTCCTTTGAAGCTCGACGACGCGTCGTCGTTGCAACGATAGACGGGCACGTGACATTAAATATGCAGCGATCAACGTATCCACACTGATTAGGCGTGTGACACGATACGCGTACACTTGCGAGACTATTAAACACTATTTTCTGTTGAAAACAAACTGTTCAAATATTATACTTGAAAAAAAAAAAAACATTTTTCATCGTCCAATACGAATAAAAGATGATAAAAAGAAAAATCCAAACGAAACGATTACTATTCCTCCCCGATACGAAAGTGCATATCGCGAATATTTCTTTTTTTTTTTCTTTTCGCATTGATGACTGATTTTCGATATTGATGACGGAGAAAGGAGAAATACAAAAAAATCTCTTCGCTCGAACCAAAAAGAAAAAAGAAAAAGAAAAACAAAAAAAAACAAATCTCGTTAGTCGATCGTTCACGGTTCCTCGACACATTTTCCACGTCTCTTTCAACCGGCAGAATGAAACGCGAGTGGCGAACAATGCAATTTACGCAGGCCACGGCGTGGTATCGTCGCGAAACGGCAGGGATTTCACGTTGGTCGCGACTTCCGTGGCCGCGATAACGTGGAAAGGTGTAGCACAATGGCCGAAAAAGCACAGGGCTTCCACTGTTTTTTCGGGAAAAACGAATTCTATCGAAACACCACACCCCTCCCTTCCTTCCTTCGTGTTTCAACATCGTAACCCTGGGGGTTGGCTTTTTTTTCCTCTCTCTCTCTCTCTCTCTCTCTCTTCTAACTTCGGGGGTGAAAAGTACGAGAGACACGCTCGCGCGTGCACGCGCGCGCGTTCTCCTCCTCTCACCTGCCCGTGTTCGGGCGTGCGATGCGCGTGCCTGTATAGAGGGATCACGGCACACGCGAGTGTACGATAAAAAACTGGGAAGAATGGCTTTTGTATAGGTTTCGATCCTTCAGGTGTGTGCACACGCGTGCGTACGTCTGGAATGTGTGGAAGTGTTGTTTGATATTTGCCACGCTCGTGACAGTTTTCGCGTTCGATTCTGTTGCTTGGCGGAGAAGGAGATTTTAGATCTTCGAAAATCGATAGGAAGAGGGAGTAATTTCGTCGAAGCACGCGATTCTATTGTTTATTTAAAAGAAGAAAACGAGAAAATTTCTTGTAGTTCCGATCATTACCGGTGATTACTGGTGACACAAAAATTGATTTCTTGCTAAGATAGATTACAACAGTATTCTTTTTACGATTTTTTTTACTTTATTTTTCTTAGATCCTTTATTTTGATTTATTGTGCGAGCAAATGATTTTTAAAGGGGCATAGTAAAATCGAAATGCATTTTCCATATTAGACATGATACATGTCTAATAAATTATTGTTAATAAACGAAGAAGACAAGTGTATTTTATAGAAAATTTGTTGTAAAGAGTCCAACAGGGAGAGATAGAGAGAGGGAGAGAGAGGAAGATAAGAGAAGATTCTTAATTCTTCGATTTCCATTTCCTTAGGACAACGTGTTACGTTACAATTTTCATAATGGCGGTTTAAAGAAGAAAAGAGTTGCGTTTGAACGCAAAGAAAAATCGTTCACAATTGCAAGATTATTGGCAATTATTACGATACTTAACCCTTAGGCTTTTCACACGAAAGCAAAAGCATCTTTACCTGGTGACCCACTACTGTGCTTGAGATGAGATTTCTAACTCTTTACCTGTTACGCGCGTTGTTTTGCGAATCAGATACGGAGAAGTCGAAAAAAAAAAAGAAAAAAAAAAAGAAGAAATAAGAAGAAACAAGTAAATCGATCAGCACGATGATATAATCTATTTCCAAATTTACTGTCGATCGGTCGTCTCAAAGATATAAAATTTCCTGGTATAAGTGAAGGTGGTAAAAATTTGGGATGGTCAAAATTTTAAAAATACGTTCGAAAATAGTCTAACGACCGGGCAATTTTAGTGGCAATAAAACGTAGGTAGGGTTGTACGAATCCAATGCTAAAAGTCACTTTGGTAACGTTGTTATTGCACGGTTCTAACCTCTTTCTCTCCTTCTTTCTCTCTCTCTTTCCCTCCTATTATTCTCCTTCTCTCTCGACAGTACTAAAACTGCTATACGATTGTCCTCGAGGAGAGGTTTTTCATCCCTCGGGGAAAACGCGACGGAAGTAAAAGTAGTAAAGGAGCACGAGAAACGAAAGGGTATTTTACCGACAATTAAAATAACGAGAATTGATTGCTCCAGTTTCGTACAAAAGAAGAGGTAAAGGGACGTTTCTGCCCCCCTCTCCCCAACGTTTCTTCGAGGACGAATATCCAGGGTAAAGAGACTTATTGCGGGGTTATTCGAACTTTTATAATTTTACAAGCGCAAATTATCAGGTATGAAAATATTGGGGCCCAGCCAGCCTCTCGAGAAAACTAGATGAAAGTGAAAAGGTATATACCTCTTCTTTTCCGCTCACTTTTCCTCTGTCTCTTTCCCTCTAGTATGCAAAACTAAACTCGAAATTTCGGCCGATCGGTTTTTCCTCTTCGTCCGAAGTTATGGTCGATCATATTGTATACACTTTTATACGTATTCACTTTCGAAAAGCGAAAGGTGGTGAGAAAAGGGCACGTTTTATTTCACCATTTTAAATACTAGGTGACCTGTAAAACTTGTATTTTTCCCCAAAATGAATGGCACTTATTGTGACACTTTTCACGGGGGTCACTTTTAACATTTTTTAATTAGATTTATGATGGTGTTGCGTCGGTTTATTTTATTACTTGGTGCTTGGTGAAATATTGCACCTCTGTATACGCCATACTTCGCAGTTAAAATTCCTAAAATTTTAACATTGCTTTCATTTCGGTAAAAGTTCCAACTTTCATTCGTTTTTATACCTTTTATAAAATTAGAGATATCCTCGAATATTATCC